TATTTCTGTATCCAAGACAATTAATCATGTCATATTACAAAAACTCACATTTTAAAAATGTCAACTGCAAACAGAGAAGCCTCCTCTCCTCCAGTCCCTAAAATAGACTTTGTAAATAATACTCACATTATCCTATTCCAAATGCACTCAATCCATATACAGAAAAGAGAAGAGAAATGCAACTTCAAAAGAAAGCCCCATTTTTAACTGTACCTGCTCTTACTTCCAATATGCAGTCACGTTCATCTGCATCATCCTTGGGAAGTAGATGTTTAAGGAGGAGACATTGTAGTCTCTTCTCTTCTTCCATGGCTTGGCTCAGTTCTTCGGAAGCCATCTCTTTCATGTCTCTATCATCTTGACACTCAGTTATCACCAACTTCAAATCCTTAATCTCCTATCAGAAATGGGAGGGGGAAGAGAGAACAGGGTAACGAAAAGGAAATGCATTGCGAACAAAAGAAGAAGTCAAGGTCCACTACAAGGAATGTGTTAGAAGCATGTAATGGTATCTGTAACAAAAATAAAGTAAAATAAAATAAAGTAACCAGAAAGACCAGAGATGGTGGTTATAAGCAATCCAAGAGGAAAAAGAGACCAAAAAATTAGAAGAAATGACAGAGAATAATGTTTCAGCCCTGGACTAATCGCTTTCAAAGAATAGCCAATGAACAGAAACAATACCAAATTTTCCTTGCTTTCGCTTCTTTTCTGTTCTATTCTTTCCAACTTCCATAATTACAAAGAAAATGAAACTCTGATTGTTTTGTCTCCCAAACTCAAAAACAAGGGAAAAATTCTCTCTCATCAACCTTTTCTTTTTCCTTTTACTTCCCTTCTTAGACACCAATACAAAAGCTAAGCCTTACATGCTTTGTATCTATAGAGATTCCCTAAAGAGGTGATAGTCTTTTCCAGCTTGTTGAATGTACATAGTCAGACATCATCCAAGCAGCTGCCTATAGAACAAATCAACCTTACCTTTTGTTTGGCCCTCAATTGATTAATAAGATCTAGTGAATGTCTGAGCTTGCGGAGCTCCTTATTTGCCGTTGAATATTCTGCTGGTGAGGCTTCTGGCTGTCTTAAACCAAAAGGCAGGAATTAAATCAAGAAAACAGAATCTGCCATATAACATGAATTAAAGTGGATTTGCCTCAAAGCAAGAACATAGTACTAGAAGAGAAGATCATCAGAACCAGCACTAGCTTTGTGCTGACAGAAAGCTCATAACCAAAGAGAGGCACAAGCATTTGAGCACGATTCTGTTTATCGAACTTCCTTTACAACAGACGACAGTACTTTATAATTTAACCCAAAAAAAAAACCAAAAGATAAAAGACCCTCAGGTGCTTGTTTACACAGAATACAAATAAGCGAGGAATTAGATAATAACATTGGAAGAATACTGAGGTAAAATAACCTGATTTATGAGGCCCATAAGATAACAACTCCTCTGCTCAATAGCTGACAATCTTTGCTCCATAATCTTGACAAGATCAATAGATAATTGAGGTTGTGTTTCTGCCAATTCGAAACCAAAGAAAAACCAAATTGAGTCGTCCCAAAATTGGAAAAACGAAGATTAAGGGTCTGTTTGTTTGGACTGAAAATATGCTGGAAAATATTTTCAGGAAATTCTGGTGTTTGGCAGCCAAAAAGATTGGGAAAATTTTTTCCCGTGGAAAATCTTTTGCGCAATCAGGAGGAAAATGACTTCTGCATCTGTTGTGCTGAAGTTATTTTCCAATAACTCTCAGAGCTCATCAACCTCACGATCCCTTTAAGAGGGAAAAATTTGAGAGCTCATCAGTCTCATGATCCTTTACTAAACCGAAAATTTTCAGATCATGACTGAAAATTATCTATTGTGCCTAACCTAGACCTACAGCCGCCTCCCCCACCACCACCACAAAGACGCCTCCCCATCTTCATTATCTATCTTAGTACTATTTGTAAGCATCAGTGAAGTGCTTCATCTGATAGAACTCTATCAATGATAAGGATCTCATTCTGATGCAATTTCCATTGACATAGCGATTAGGCAATTAGTATGAGCTGTAATGGTAATGGGTTTGCGATACTATGGATTTCCTGATCATGGAGTATGATCTAATTTTTTGGAATTTGAAGTATTTGGATTGGGGTGATGAATTGATATAGGTGTGGATGGGAGTTCTGGTTGTTGGCAGAAGGAAACTGACAAATCTTTGAGGGGAACATTCTTTGTGGGTTTTGGCTGCAAGTATTATTTTTCAAAAGTGCACCAAACACCTGAAAATGAAGGGAAATAATTTTTTTTCCTATGAAGATGGTTTTCACTGAAAATATTTTCCTTGGCAAAAAATTTTACACTAAAACAAACGGACCCTAAATATCCATCAACTGCCACCATGAATCAAAGTCGAGAAAAATTGAGGTATTCTCTCAATTCTACCAAAATGTAATCGAATCAAGCATAAGTTTGCGATCAGAACAGATATGCATAGAACATATAACATGGTCTGGACCTTTATCCTTCTTGTAGGTTCTTCAGGATTTCAGGATTCTTGCATTAGATTAACAGTTTAAAACAGGGAAATTGTATTGTAATTGCTTGATCATGCGGATGATCTACTCCTAGCTTTTTCCTCATTGCATAAAAGGAAAGTTAGATAAATATACAAAATGAGTCTAATCTAATCAAAAATCAGCACAACGAACACGGGGGTTATCACTGAATTAATGGCTCCAACACCTATAATGAGTACAGAAGAATGATTGTGTCTAGAACAAAAACAGCAGGAACTTATGTCTACTAAACATTTTATAGTCCAAAAATACTGTATTAATAGGATACCAATAAAAAATGAAAAGGATAATGAAGAAGCAGCAAACCAGTGGTGGTGGAATATGAGCGGAGGAAATTCAGCACGGAGGACCTCTCCGGCGCCGGCGCCCTGGAGGATTGCATCCTACTAGCTCCATTCTTAAGCTTAAGGACTTGTAATTTGCATGAACAGCAAGAAGAAGATCCGAACTCTTTCAATGCCCAAACCAGAAATTGATTGTTCCGCCAAAACCAAAATCTCCTTCCATTTCCCATTAGATTTTCCGTTTTAACGGTTTGTCTTTTTTTTTAAGGTGTTCAAAGTAGTAGGGGATTAGCTTGCTGTTTCCCCTTGTTAACTTAATACTACTATATCCTAATTGGGCAATGCGACCGGTCCCAAGCCCAAGCCCTACAAATATTTTTTTTTTAAATTTTCATATAAACATAATATATAAGTGTCAACCATAATTCAATTATATTGACTTGTCTAAATCCGTCCACTAATAGGTGAACTTGGGTATGCAATGAATTTTGAATAGATGTAAATAGGTATCCAATTAAACCTATTTAATTGGTAAATAGTAGATTGACTCGACTCACCCATTTAAACTCTTTTAAAAATAATTATACATCTAAATACAAATTTTAGTAGGTGTTAAGCAAATAAATTTGAATTTTTTACCAATCTAATAACGATAAAATGTCAGAATTTTTTATCAAACAACATGCAAAAAAATAAAAAAAAAAGTAAATTTTCAAGTGAGTTATAAATGGGTAATTGGGTATATCAATACCCATTTATTAAATGGATATATATGGATTGACCTAACTATACCCATTATCCATTTATATCTGTTGAAACCCGTCCGAATCACCTATTTTAACACCTCTATTTATATAAGATTCTTCTAATCGAATATGGGCTACAATGATTGCCAGGCTAACGATCTAAGAGCTGTCACGACCAAGACAGTTGTCCATGTCACTCATGATATTTCCTTTATCCTACCAATTGCTATTCTTCCACCTCCTAACCATATTTTTCCAATTCATGACCTATTTCATTATCATTTCAAAAGTTTTTGCCAAATCCAAGGTCAAATTTTTTATAAGTGGGATCGACGTAAAATTTTATAAAATTTTGCATCTTTGAAATTTTTCTATAAATATCTACTGAAATTTTTTTTCAAAAACTCCTAATATGTTCCTAAAAAGAACCATCCAAACACATCCTTGTTTATTTGAGTTCATCTCAATAGAATTTATTTACTATATAACTCATCTTCAAATATTATACACACACACACACACATACACACACACACACATATATATATGTATGTGTAGCCCATGCATGCACGTGTGGATATATCAAAAACATATTTTATATGCGTCTAAATTTAGTAAACAAAAAAGAAGTTAACATTAGTCAAAACTATGGTTCAATGTTAACAGAATCTAGATAAGAAATTAATGAGAGTACACAGTATCATATGAATCTCTAGAATGAAAATATTTTCTCTTATATGTAAGAGCATCCACAACAATGTATAATCGGGGGTGTAATGCCCCACATTACACCGCTTCAATGTGAAGCCGTGTCATGGAGATTACACGCACAATACTGATGATGCGCGTCACGGAAGATGTTATGGGACCCAAACGGCATGACAACACCAGCAAACGTCCAAATAGCAAAAATGAGATAGCATTTTACTTGGTCATTTTTTGAAACATTTTACAACGGTCATTTTTGGAGCCAGCTATTTTACAACGGCCTTTTTTTACAACGGCTATATTTTAGCAATGGATAATTTATTTTACTTCCTATAAACACATAAAGTAATTTTTTTTATTTCACTTCACAATCTTCTACTCCATTATCTTTCATACTCCCTTATTCATTATTTTCAATCTCTTTACATAATTTTATAAATTTTAGTATTTTATCATTATGGATGAGAATCTTAGTAGCTTTAGAGATATGTTAAATAGTCCAAATATTGAAAATTCATCTGCTTCACAAAATCAAAACCACCAAAATTTTCAAAATTCACCAGATTTGCCAAATTATCCATTTTCAATTCCAAATTACCCAAATTTACCCAATCCATCAAATTTCCAAAATCCACCACATTTTCCATATCAAATTCCCATGTATCCGTCACTTAATTATTTTAATCCTTCTATGGGAAATCACTATACACCGGGGTATGATAACCTTGGTATGGGTTGTGAAGGCTCAACGACTCTGTCGGAGATAAGGAAGGATTTTGATTTCGCCAGTCAACAAGATAATGCAATACCAACAGAGTCAATTTCAGATTCTCAATTTCCGCCGTATTCAACACAACGTGAGGTAGAAAATATAAATCTCACAAATGAGGCGGTGGAAAAACCTGACGGTAAACGTGTTCCATGGAGTGTGGATGATGACAAGATGCTTGCAAGTGCTTGGCTCACAATTTCAAATTGCAGCATTGTGGATAACTCTCAAAAAGAAGAGAGTTTTTGGAAACGAGTCGTCGACTGCTTCAATGAGAATCGGAAATCTGGACCACCACGAAAATATAAAACAGTGAAATCACATTGGCATTGGTTGAGTAGGATGGTTAATGAGTTCAACCAACATTACAACAGATTGGTCGGCGAACATCATAGCGGGTGGAATCATGACCAGATCAAGCAACACGCACGTGAGCTATTTCATCAGAATAATAACAAGCATTTTTTACATGAACATGTGTGGGTGTTGTTGAAAAATGATCCAAAGTGGAAGGTAAATGCTCCTATGCAGCGTTCTTCAAAAAAGATAAGGACTAATGAAAACGGGGCATACACTTCTTCATCCAATGTGGATTCAAATTTTGACATCGATGATAATGAAGCACGTGAAGTTCACCCACCTGGTCAAAAAGCATCAAAGAAGGGAAAGAGAAAGGCAAAATCAAAGGTGAATGAGGAAAATGTAAGTGGGGAATTTGATCAAATCCGAAAAATGTTGATACAGCAAAAAGAAGAAAAATTGCAAGCTATGGAAAACTTGGCAAATAAGTTAGAAAGTTATAATTTTCGAAGTGATTACAAAATCTTACTCAAGGATACCACGAGCATGACCGATCAGCAGCTTCGAATTCATGAGCAAATGTGCTCCATCCTAAAAGCCAAATATAATATTTCTTAGTCTATTTTTAATTTTATTTTACTATATGTAATTGTTAAATTTATATTTGAGTTTTTAATAGTTTATTTGTAATATTACTTATAATTTCATGTCATTTATGTTATTTGGAAATAAAATTTTAAAGTTCACCATTTTAATTTTATTATGAAAATTAGCCGTTACAAAAATAGCCATCAGAAAACTAGCTGTTGGAAAATTAGCCGTTGGAAAAATAGCCATTGAAAAACTAGCCGTTATAACACTAGCACTATATATGTATTGGCAAGATGCAATACATTGGCACCAAATACTCAACACACTCAAAAAATGTCTCAATATCCTAATATCTCTCTTATAGAAGAAATTAAAAAGTTTTTAGTCGATGAAATGATGGATGACATTGATGATCAAATTATGAAGATGTTGGAGCAATGGCAAATGCAACATACATCTTCAAGTCGTAACATCCGTCCACACAATCGAAGATATTACAATCGAGAGCGTGGTGTCGGACATGTTCGATTTTTTAATGACTATTTCACCGATGAGCCAGTGTATCCTTCACATATATTCCGCCAACGATTTCGAATGAGAAGGGAATTGTTCCTTCGAATTGTGGAGTCAATGACAAATCATTCAGAGTTTTTTCAAATGAGGGTCAATGCAGCCAGCAAAAGAGGACTTTCTCCACTTCAAAAAACCATAGCAGCTATGTAAGGACCCATAAATTTTCCTAATTTTATATTATTTATTTTATTTCCTCGCATACATTTTTCTTCATTATACCCTACTATTTCGATTTTTTCAGGGATTTTATAAGTGAATAAAGTTTTTAAATCATTTTCCTAGTTTAAGTTAGTTCATGATAAGTTTGAAATGTATTATTGACGTGGGACCCGCTAGTGCGATAAATGCGATATATTTTTGACAACTTGTTGGAGTTTTGCATCAAGTGATATTTTTTTACAAGGTGTTAGGATACAATTAGAGGTTAGCTAGATAAATTACCATTGGTAGACAAAAGAATAGAATTGAAACCCTAAAGGACCACTTGTCACAAAACTATTGGAAGTTGGACTTGCCTAACTTTTTTACCTTTACTAAATATCTAATTTTTGATCCAAATCATCTTCATTCTTCATGAAGCTTGGCCGAACCTTTGAGGAGAGAAAAGAGAGGAAAACTTCATCTTGTTTCTTCAAATCCAAACCCAAATCTTGAGTTCCAACCATTAACATCTCAAATCACTCCATAAAAACTCCTTGTTAGGAAGGATTAAAGAAGGCGGTGGAGTTGTTTTGGAAAGGGAAGACCTAAGTTGATAGCTTTCTTGAGTTTTTGAGGTAAGTTGCTAAGAAAGTTCCTTCTTTGCTTTCATAATGGTTGATTAGTGGGCTGTAGTGGCTAAATAGATTATTTTGTGGAAAATTTTAGGGTTTAAAGTAGAGTTTGACAATTTTTAGAATTTTTGTGATTTTTCTGATTTTATATGGTGATTATTGTTGGGACATGGAATGATAGCTTAATATGGTGTGAAATGGAGCTTTGGTATGTTAGTTTTGATTGCCTAAAGAAATTTCAGTTAGAGTGCATAAATTCCAGTTTAGGGTTTCATCTTACCTTGTTCTGCCCGGTTCTGTTCGGCCATGATGGAGGCCGAATCAGCCTTAGGTTAAAACATAAAAGTTGTAGAAAATGATGTTTTATAGCTGTCTATAAATTTTCAGTTCAATCTGATCACTGTAGCATATGAAAAGATAAAAATACCCCTGATTGCCATAGGTAGAGCTCTGTGGACAATGTTGACATTTCACCAATCTGACCGCATCTATTCATCTTGATCCGTACTGAATTAGCATTTGGCCAAAATATGGAAGTTATAGTGCTATGTCTTAGCTTTCCAACGGCCTTGAAAATGCCTCAATCGGATTTCGGTAGCTTGAGTTATTGTCGTTACGCATAGTGCGGTTAACTAGCCTGATTGCGAGATTTTGGTTTGGTAATTTGAAATTTTGACTTGGATACACTACGAACTGAATTGAGTGGTCTTCATCAAAGTTGTAGCATTTTCTCTTAGTTTCGAAATGGTATAAATTGCACACCAATTCAATAAGCGTAGCTTCAGTTGTGTCCGATACGCTAAGCGATGTCAAATCTGTCTTTTGTTTTAGGGTTTAAGCTTCATTTCCGGACATTTTCCTAGTTTGATTTTGTACTTGTACGACATTGAGTCTATTGAATGGCAATTGAAATGAAATTATTTTGTGTGTGACATTGGGGCTGATTTAGGGCTGATTTGAGAAAAAAATGAAGCCATGATAGCTGGAAAAGTAAGCAAATTTAGGGGAGATGCTGTCCAATTTTCTAGACTGTTTGGTTCCTTTAAGTTTGAGTTGCCTTTTGGTAGAAATGAAGGGCTTTTGGGTCGTTCAAGCCCTAAGTCCTCTCATTACCTTTTCGTTCCAAAATCACACTTTTGCACCCTTGCATTCGTAGTTCGTTTGGTTAGGCATACAACTCATAGTTGATTTTCATTTGTAAATGTCGTTCCCATAGGAACCATAATTGTTTTACTTTGATCGTTTTAGGACGTGCTGGTGATTCAGAAAGTACTTCGAGGGGGAACGTTTGAAATTGTTTTGCTTGAACTGATGAGTGTACCACTCCCTTTATTGTCGCTTAACTTGGTTTCTGTACATGCAATCTGTGATATGAATGACTGTATTATCTGTTTATTCTGTTTGAGACGAGGGTGTACTTCATCACACTCGTTCTTTTGTCTGTCTGTATGCTTATTTACTGTGCGAATTTGAATTTGCTATCTGTATCTGTATCTGTTCTGACGTCGTTTGAAAGCTTGTATCCAACGACCTTTCTGTGACCTCTGAACTCAAATCCTGTGGCTAACTTACTCGAGTCAAACCGGCAAGGGTCTAGTCGATTAGATAACGAATCACAGTAGTCTGTTCTAGGAATTTTTGGGTATTGAGACCTTTGACTTCGATATACTCGAGTATTACCACTTCTGTTTTTGTTGAGGTGTTCGTGCCCGATAAGGGGTAAGTTTGATGGACGGATTTTGGTATAAAATGGTGCTCTACTGGACTGGACTGGACTGGTTACTTTATTCGAAAAGTTGATAGAGTGTCAACTATTATTTGATCAAGTTTCGGTGAAGCAAATGGGAATTTAGCTCTTGAGAGCCACCCGTATTCTTTCTATCTATGGTGTTTGTTCATTTCTTTATCTGATTTGCATATGTGACTAACTGAATATGAAGTTTCATGATTCTTACTTGCTATTATTTTTGTACCTCATTGAGCGTAAGTTCACCCCTTTCCCGTTATCTTTCTTTTCCTTATAGGGAACCACACTTTGAACCGTGATTTTGAGAAAAGGGTTGACCTAGTGTAAACGTTCTTTTGTTAGCTCTTGTGTAATCAAAATCCTAATTGTCTTTTAATTAAGTATCACGTTTTTAATTGTAAAGTTTGCAATGTATGTATATAAGTGTTTTATCATGTACATTAAGTGTATTCATTGGAGATGGTACCTTTGCGTTTGTTGAGATGCTACTTGTAACTATTGGACGATCGGACGAGCGCTGCATTTGAACAAGGAAAGAAAATTCTAGCTGGAATTGTTCACCAAATCCGGCCGTATATCCAGCCAGTTTTTGGCCGGATTAGCAGTGGTTTTGAAAAATTTTTGGGTTACTCACTGCCTCATATCCGACCAGCGATCCGGCCGGAAATCCAGCCATACCTTGGCCGAATTGTGATGTGTCCGCTTTCCATTTGCATTTTCGTCTTCATTTTTGTTTCCGTTGGGGACGTTTGATCGAAGTACCATGGTACGTTACGGTGTAGAACTCATGTTTCTCAACTTAGTAGTCTTCGATTGATTGTTCTCTTGGGGATTCGTTGTGTGCTATATCAGGTTTGTGTGATTCAACTCCGTAATCCTAACGAGAGTTGGGCAGGCGGTCCGCCGAACCCTTTGGTTCGCCTTAGGGTGAGGTGGGGCTGTCACAAGCTATCTGACAGTTAGCATATGGAGCACCTGCTAACCAGTTAGACGAGTACATAAGGATGGGTGAATCCACTGCAATCGAATGTTTGTCACAATTTTGTCGATGCGTGATCGATATTTATGGGGCACAATACTTGAGAAGGCCTAATACTAATGACGTTGAACGTTTACTTCGATTGCATTCTGAGCACCATGGTTTCCCCGAAATGCTTGGTAGCATTGACTGCATGCATTGGCAATGAAAGAATTGCCTCGTGGCATGGAAAGGTCAATTTACTCGAGGTGATCAAGGATCTCCCACAATAATACTAGAAGCAGTTGCATCAGCAGATTTGTGGATATGGCATGCATTTTTTGCCGTTGCGGGATCTAACAATGACATTAATGTACTCAATCAATCTCCACTATTTAACGACGTATTACATAAATATGCTTCTGATATTCAATTTATGGTAAACAGCACACAATACAATAAAGGGTATTGTCTAGCAGATGGCATATATCCAGAATGGGCAACATTTGTTAAAAGTTTTACATCTCCTAAAGATCCAAAGAAGATCAAATTTAAGCAAATGTAGGAGGCTGCAAGAAAAGACGTCGACCAAGCTTTTGGAGTGCTCCAATCTCGTTGGGCAATTGTACGTGGCCAAGCTCGATTTTGGCATAGAGATAAATTGAAAGATATAATGTACACATATTGCATAATATGATTGTCGAGGATGAGGGAGTTGCAATAAGAAACTGGGATGATGATGATGAAGAACCAACGATCCCTGTGATTCAAGGTTCAGTTGAAAATTTTCACCATTATCTTTAAAGGAATGCGGAACTACGTGATCGGGAAGTACATCATCAACTTCTGTCAGATTTGGTCGAGCATATTTGGAAACGATTCGGAGGCAATAATAATGAAAATTAGTATTCGTTATATTATTATTTGTATTTTATTTAATTTTAATATTATGTCATGGAGTTAAATTTAGTAGATA